TTGTTATTATTATTACAATTACAGATAATTGTTGTTAATGTTTATTCGTGCACAAAGCTTGGAGGTTTGCACGCACTTTCAGGTCCCTAGAGCACACACACAGGCCGGGCCAAGGAAGGTGGGACCATCTTCACTTGACAGAACTGAGGACCAGAGAGGTCCAGCATCTTGCCCTGGGACACAGAGCATCCAGACTTCATCTGCAGGGAAAGTGTCGAGGTTGTAGTCCTGGGGAGACTTTGGGCAAGTGACTCAGTTGTCCCAGCCTGAGTTTTGTATTAGTTAAACAGGGATAATAATAGAGCTTACCTCATAGGGGTGGTTAAGGAGATGAAAACGGGTTAATTGATAGTGGAAAAAGCACTTTCCCCGCGCCTAGGCTGGTGTAATTGTGACTCTGTGTGTGTATGTGTGGGAGGGTTTCAGTTTTTCTCTCTCTAAGATGAGTGTACTTGCCTGTATAGATCACGGGGTCCTCAGTAGCCAGGAGCGTTTCGTAGGGCGTGCCAAGGTGGCCGAGTAGCTCCCTTGTGCCCAGCCTGCTGCTCGCGCGTCTGGGCTCGAATTGCGGCTCCCGCCTGGCTCTCTTTCTCCTTTTTTCGAGTAACAACACCTGGGCCGGCGGGTTCACTTGCCCACGGCCGCCGGAAGTTGCGCAAACGCGGGTTACCTGAGCTCCGGGTGGGCTTGGCAGCACGCGGGGCACAACCAGGTACGTGCGTGGCGGAGATGAGGGGGGCTAGTCTCGGGGACCAGGTGGGGGTCTCACCTTCTGACCTGGATGGGACAGCAGAGACTGTGCTGTCTGTCGCCAGTCCCGGGGCGGAGAGGAGGAGACACACAGCACACTGACCCGCTCGTGGCCCCCACCGACGCCAGAGGTTCCCAAGTCTACCTGGAGGTGGGGAAGCAGAGTCTTGGGCTGCGAGCTCGATTCCTAACCTACCGTCTGGTTCAGGGTGTCCGTGGGATGGGGGCAGGGCAGACCTGCTTGCCAGAGATGGGCTTCTAGGTCCCTGCATTTGGGGACGTTTATGGACAACTTTTGAAATCCTATGCCCAGTGGGTGAGCATGGAATATTGGGCGTAAGAAAATGCCTTAAAGGGGACACTTGGGACGCTGGCTTCAATTAACAGGAGGCGCCTCCGTTTGCACACCTGTGAAATAGGCCTCCCCAATCACGCCCCTGTCTGGTCTGCTGCTTCTGGAGGGGTTCAGAGCCCCCTGCGAGGGCGGGTGGTCTGCCAGGTTTGATTGGTTAAGTCCTAACTCGGAGCCCTGCAGCGTGGAGCGCTGCCTTACTGCCAGGTGCTAAGAAAAGCTCTTGACCCGCTTTATCTCTCTTCATCCTCGGCATGACCTAGGAGACTCGGGAAGGTCTATTTTTATCTGCCTTTCACAGATAAGAAAATAGAGGCTGTGAGAGGCGCGGCGTCTTGCGCAAGGTGCCCGTCAGTGGTGGGCGGGCTGATCACTCCAGTTTGAGCAGGCTGAGATCCTAACGCTGCCTGTGGCTCCCAGACAGCGGGACTGAGGGTCCCCACTTGTGTGTGTGTGGGGGGGGGGATTGTGTTGGGGGATGGTGGTGACTGAGACTCCTGCCCTGGCCCTGCCCATCTGACCTCCTTCCCCCAGCCTACCGGTGAGGGAACCCCCGCCTCCAACGGGTAGAACTGGTTTGGGAGCCTAGGGAGTGGAGTTGGCTCGCTGGGATTCTGCATGGCCTCCCTTCTCAGCCAGAGGGCTTTGGGGGAGGGGGGTATGCTCCAAGGGGGTATGCCCGTCTTTTCCCACCTACTGCACCTCTTTTACCTGGAGAGCAGCCTGGTTCGGGGCCAGCAGGCCCACTGTGTGTCTTCAACTCTTCAGGGTCACAGAGCAGGCAGATGGGAGGGGCCAAAATGCTTACGCAGGGTGTAGCTTGATCTGTACTTACAAAGCTTAGAAAATACTGTTCTTAGGTTTGCCAACACTTAAGAATCCAGACGGTGCTTTTGGATTTCTGGTTCCTAGGAAGGTCAGTAGGGAGCTCTCCTGGCCTAGTGGTAAAATGCAATCCCGACGGAGGCATGTGCTCTGAATTCACCAGCTGCTCCGTGGGAGAAGGATAAGCAGTCTCCTCCCATGCGATTTACTGCCTCTGAAGACCCGCTGGAGGGTCGCGTAGGAGTCGGTTCTAACTTGGCGGCGCATAACCACCACCACAACAAAGGAGGGTCAGTGGTTTGAAACTACCCACCTCTCCAAGGGAGAAAGGTATGACCATCTGGTTCTATAAAGATTTACAGCCTCCGAACCCCTCTGAGTGGTTCCGCTCTGCTGACCTGCGTAGAAATTGAGTCAACAAAAGTGGGTTTGGTGGTTTGGTCTGATTTAGGGGGCTCTGCGTCTACCTAGTGGGCCCACTGGCTTGCAGCAGGCAAGATGTTCCTCATTCCAGTCCATTCCTGGTTTGCCTGTTCACTTAGGGGCCTGCAGGCATTTCAATTCAGCAAATTATTTATTGACTGAGGTTGAGCAATGTCTTGGAAGGAGATACAGTGAA